TCTCTCTCTCTCTCTCTCTCTCTCTCTCTCTCTCTCTCTCTCTCTCTTAATTCAGGCTGTATGTATTAGCTCAAATTATAGTGACAATAATAGAGATGTAAAGCATGAAGCGGCTTGGCTTCTCTTTGAATGCCTAAGCCACCTAAAGTTCTCAAAGACACACAGTCCACAAAAAGCACTTCATGGGAATGTTTGAGCTTTGGAACTTTCCAGATTTTAGAAATGTCCCAATCTCAGGGGAACCTAAGCATTGTTTCCAGATTATATCGCCAGTTGTACTTCCTCCCGCCCCCTCCAACAAGTGAGTAGAAATCCAAGTTGTATCTTTCCCAAACTCTTAAGGTTTTACAAAAAAGTGACCTTCTAACGCAGTGTTTAAACAAAAATAGATCTTGTACTTCTTCTCTCCCCGAAAATTCAAGACGAAGTAAAGGTAAAACGTTAGTGTTAGTGTACTCAGACTGCCATGAAAGGAAAAGAAAATTAAAATCAGTCATGATTTCCTGTGATCCTTGTTCGGGATTCTTCTATTGTCAATACAGGACCTATATTTTGAAGAGCTAGCTGGATCTTCATTCTAAGATCCCCCGATTCCCCAAACAGTTCTCAACAGAACCAAAGTTTAAGGTAGCATATTTTCATTCTTAGGGAACTGAGTCCAACACACACACACACACACACACACACACACACACACTTTTTTTTTTGTTTCTTTACCTGTTTTTATGTCGTGTCTTCAGCAAGTTCCTTCCAAAGGGAGCCATGGTCTGTCCGGCAAGGCAAGCAAATAACACAGTCCTTATCTCAAAGTAATCTGGGCCCTGGGAGGGGTGTTTGGGTCTCTCTTGTGAAGGGAGGAAGGCTGGAAGCTTCCTTTTCAACTCCTCAGATGTTACTTGCTTTCAAGCTCATTAGCAGCTGGCTGAGAGAGTTGCTGGAAGTTGTGCAATTGCTGCCTAACTTTGAACTGCGGGGATTGTTGTGGCTGCTGCGCCTAGGGAGACCAGCCCAGCTTCAGCCTGGAAGAAGGTGTTTGTTTGGAAGCTCAAAAGATAGAGGAGAGAGAGGGAGAGAGGAAGGGAGAAAGTCAGAGAGGGAGGAAGGGAGGATAGGAGGGAGGAAGGGAAAGAGAGGAAGGGAGGGAAGGAGGGAGTGGAGAGCCTCTATTGTGTGTTGTAGCTATTTGCCAACTAGCTAAACTCTAAGACCTGCCAACCCTACAGGCATGGTAATAGCCATGGAATGGGGATTTCACTCGACTTGGAAACCCCCCATTCCTGCTTTCCACACCCAACCACACAAGGTGTACACACACATAAAAGATTTAAAACTAACCCCCTCCCCCCCTGCGGCCTCCTGCCAGCCAGCTCCAGTCAGTGAAAAGTAATCTGATCTTGGCAAACAGGAATGAGCAGGAGGAACGCTTTCCCTACCTACTCCATACATACAAAATAAAAACCCTCCCCTTCCCTGAATGCAAGCGTGGTAAGCCGGGTTGAGGGGTGCAGCTACTAAGAAAGCAAGTTCCCTAGCTCTCCATATAAAAATAATAAAAGGAGGGGACTGGGTGGTGCAGAAACTGTGAAGGACAAAGGGCTGCAGGATTAGCAGATCACTGCTTTGTGGTAGCTGACCACCAGGGTGCTGACAGCCTTGTGAGATCACATGCTGTGCCTCTGGGACCTTTGGGAGCACCCTAAGAAAAGTGAGCTACTTGCCACCCCTGCCACCTTTAACAATTGAACAGTAGAAGGGAGATATAAATAGGTATATTGTCAAAGTGGTGTGTGTGTGTGTGTGTGTGTGTGTGTGTGTGTGTGTGTGTGTGTGTTGGTATGTAAAACTCAAACCTATGACCTAGGCTTATGAGAAAGTGAGGAGAGAAAGTGTGTGTGTGTGTGTGTGTGTGTGTGAGAGAGAAAGAGAGAGAGAGAGAGAGAGAGAGAGAGAGAGAGAGAGAGAGAGAGAGAGAGAGAGAGGCAGACACAGGAGCTACAGGGGGATCAGTGTCCTGGAGGGTTTACTCTGAATCTTATTTTGAAGAATCTACTACCAACCCTCAACCAAGAATGACTCCCTAAAACACAATCCAGTTCCTAATCACAGGCCGGAGGGGTTGGGAGGGTGGAGGGGGAAGGAGAGAAAAATGAGCTGTGGGCCTTACAATTTTCTCTATTCAGGTTGATGTCTTGAGTTCCAGGAAAGCACACAGATGGTCCCTGTTTTCTCTGGAAATCCTGCCTAGACAGCAGCAGCAAGCAAGACATGATTGCAAGGAGTCTTTTTATTTTATACACACTTCAGTGTTCATGACTTCACAGTGCTCAGAAGAACCATTTTTCATTATGTAATCACAACTTCATCTGTAGGATATGTATGCATATGATTTTATGTTAATTAAAATTATATTTTTTCTTTATCATTCTATGTATAAGTTATGCATATGACCCTGAATCACTACAAATTGGAATTATAGATATTAATAATATTTTATGGCCCTGGACAAACTGTTTAAGAATATATAACCATTTTTAATTCCAGAAAAAAGCAATTTCAGTAATAAAGGTACCAACTGTATATTTTGTTGCCCTCTGTGTTTAACCACATGAGCGTACATGCACATTTTTCATGCTTGGTATTTTTATATGTATGTGCTTTCTATGTAATAAAAACCACATAATCTTAGGAATACTTTGGTTTTCTTTCTTTGCTTACACATATAATGATTTACATCATTAGGGAAGCTTGTATAGTTTCTCCAAGTTATTCTACATTGAGTTTCTGTAGACGGACTGTTTACATATTAATTTTAACCAATCATAAAAATGTTTTCATTTGCTAATTAATCTCTCTCTGTATCTTATCCTTTTGGTACCTACCTTTGTTGGCATTATTTGTATAAGTATGTATGTATACTATATTGTTAAAAAGGACTTCTAATGGGGGAAGAGGAAACATTGCATCTTTACTAGCATAACCTTTATGCTGCTTTCAAGTTATCACAAATGAGTTACCTTTAACAGGTTATTATTTCTCACATAAAATATCCTATTAATACTCTTCTCAGCAAGCTCTTTCATGTAGAAGAGTTAAACGCGGAGAGGTTTGTATACATTAAACACATGCAGCTTTATTTGTCAGTTATATATCAATAATGATGGGGAAACAGCACAAAATGTTACCATCTCTTAGTTATTAAAAGCAGAAAGAAATACAAAAACATGGACCGTATTCCTTATATAGAAAAATAAGAGAGCAGCAAGCCTAGCTCTATCCCTAAATGACAATAACAAATTTATGCTTTATAAAGTCTGACCTACTGACAAGAAGATATTGCATTTGTAATTGGAAAGGGAACTTTATTCTGATTTTATACATTTGTCTGGTTTTTAATATTCAGATGCCCTCCTTTGCTAATACAATGGTCAGAAAAATCTTATTTTTACATGTGTAGTATAAAGGAACATGCACTTTTATGAATGAACATAAGTTTGTACAACAGTAACTTTCAAAATATTCAACACTGAAGCCAAATTTATCATCACAGTTCTCCCAAGAAAGTAATATTTCTGACAAGGGCTAATGCTCACTGATATTTCTTCAGCTAAGTAAATGATACATTGTGTATAAAATGTAGACATGGGGTATTAAGCTAAATACTTTTTTCCCCCAGATTTATCCCAAACTTGAAAATAAGGCAAATCATGACTACTTGAGATTCTAGTGATGTAGTAGTACCCTTGTCAAATAGTAACTCTTAAGGATTATTAGAGGGTCTGAAACCATGTGTCCTTGAAGTAGTCATTGAGAGGAAGAGACTACTGTTAAATTATAAAACAAGGTAAGTATGCTGTGAACAACTTTGTTTCAGGAGCAATCCAAATGATTTTGATGGTAGATGATGGGTAGTGTATCTCTCCTCTCTTTCTTTCCATCTCTCTTTCTATCTCTTTCTGTCTCTCTGTCTTTCTGTCTCTGTCTCTGTCTCTCTCTTTCTCTCTCCTCTCTCCTCTCTCTCTCTCTCTCTCTCTCTCTCTCTCTCTCTCTCTCTCTCTCTCTCTCTCTCTCTTTCCCTCTATCCTCTCCTTCTCTCCCCCCTCTCTCTCCCCCTTCCCCTTCTCACTCCCTCTCTCAGAACAAAGTTGAGCCCAAATAGAAAATGCATACTTTCAGTGTTATGATTGGAACCTGCTTTGGAATCTTTAGAGGGTGGAGGTCTTCCTGTTACAAACCATTCACTATAGGTAGTCTTTAGAGGTTCTATCACGCCTAGTTTCCATCTGTGTTCTGTGCCCAGGTCTATGACCAAGCTGTGAACAAGGACCACCTGTCTGCCTTCCATTCCAAGGTGAACTGAACTTGCTCTGAATCATGAGCAAAGTGAATCTTCACTTTCTTAAGTACTCTCTCAACGTGTGTCAGATCTTGTTCACAATCATACAGAAGTAACTAACATCTTACCTTTCATATTTATATTGACATTTCAAAAATCAAAAAAAGTCATTAAACCTAATGACAAAGTGAACATTTCCCCGAATAAAGTAATCTTATTTAAGCTGTGATTCCGTTCGTATCACCAAAAAGGTGAACAGTGTTAAAAACACTTTGACAGAAAACCTCTACTCCTGGAGGCTATCAGCAGGAAATATGTGTACAGATTGTTGGTACAGTTCATTTTTAAAGTGTGGAACTGAGCTCTATTGATATCAATTTTGATATCATGAAGTCTCATTCCTTGTTGACAAGTACCTTTCAAGACTATTTGAACTACTCTTTGCATGCACACAATGGGAAGTAGAGCCTGGCACATATTCATGGCACTTACATCAACACCTCAATTATCTACCTCCTCCAGGACATTAGAAAGCTAAGCTTTTGAGAATATAGCTCTTATTACCAGTGTCAGGAGATGGGAATGGATTGGGGAGATGCATGATAAAGACTCTAAAGCAGCAAATATATGAGATGAACAAGTTCAGAGAGTAATCTACAACATGGAGGGCAGGGGAACCAGATAGTAAAACCAGGGCTTTTGCTTAATGACTGGATTACAACTGCTCTTGCCATAGAAAAATACAGTTGTTTCCAAAAACTTTCCACTAGTACAAAGGATGTCATGATTTTCTTATCATGAAAAATGGGTATATTTTCTAATTTGTTCCATTATATAAAATGCTTTATATAAATGTTTTTCATCGGTTACATATCTTAAATATAAAATAACAATTAAAATAAACATAAAAAATACCATCCTGATTCCAGCTTAAATCTTTTAAAGCACTTATAGAGTCAGCTATAAAACCCAGTATTTTTGTGAGCTGTTATCATTGAGTTTTATTAACTCTAGCCTATGTGACTTCACTAAGTTGCACAGAAGTTAAAGTTTCAATGTTCTAACTATATTGGACTCTGTGTTAAAACTCTCCCATTTCCTTTTAGGGACCTTAGATAATGGTTAACTGGTCTGAGCCTCAGGTTTCTGCTATGGAAAATCAAGAAAGCATTAATTCTGTTTTCTAACTTTGTTATGAAGTGCAACTTTAAGGGGAAGTTTTTCTTCAAAACATTTTATACAGACATTTTATAATCTCTGTACTAGTCATTTCCTCTTCACATTTTAACAATTAAATTGGCTTGCTTGATTTTTTTATCAGAAGCATCTGTGTTGGTATGAGCCAGTTTTCCCTGGGGGCTGTGTTAAAAAGAGCAGCAGACCTGAAGTTCTAAGTCTGGGATTACATACAAGTGACTGTGAGGCAATTTGTCACCACTTACATGGTAATCTGAGAAGAAATAACATACTGGATAGCTTGTTAAAATGAATCTGTTCTCCTGATTTTACAAACAACAACAAAAACACCACTCTCAATTAAGGGAAAAAATAATAAAATCTGTAGCCTTTTGTTCGGACAAAAGAGAGAAGATGAGAAATAATTCCAGCTTGTCAGATGGGAGGCATGAACACCAGCCTGTGTGTCTTCATCCCATCAGCATGTGGCTGAGAAAAGGACATGAGATCCAACAGAACTGTCTACAGAAGAATGTACAAATATCCACCCATAGTTGTGAACAACGAATAGTTCAGCTGAGTTCTAAAGGCTGAGCAGGTT